CCCCCAGTCTTAAGTCTTCCTCAGGAGAGCCAGTCAGACCTGTGTGATACTTTGTTGCAAATCTATACAGATTGGATTGTTTTCCCTGTTCTTTATGTGAAACATTTACCCCTACTGTGACATGAGATAAAATGTACTTCGAGTAATTATTTTTCATTACCTATTATTTGTGTTTGTTTACATGCGTTGCTTTATTTTATAAATATATTTACCGAAAGTCATGTTCTTTTTTTCCCTTTGTGTATTTCTGTATCGAATGTTCTAGTAGTATCCTATAATTTTTTTATGTGTTTTTATGTGGGTTTTTTTTTTTTAATCTTTTTGAAGAAAATGATCTGAAATTCTTGCTTTTACGTGAAATAGGGAATTTATAGGCAGGCAGCATCTCAGGGTGGTTCAGCAGATAATGAACCAGTACGAAAGTGTTGAATTTCTGCCCTTAGCCTTTTAAAAGTAGTTAGATTCCTTTTTAATGTCTGGTATGTAATAGACTAGCTTTGGGGGTGGGGCGGGGTGGAGGTTTATTTTCATTTCCATGACGACTTGTAGTTAGCTGAAAAGCTACAATGGTTAATTCTTGGTATGGAAAGAGATTCTTTATTTGTGAAACTCCTCTCTGCTGTCAGATTTGTGCCTGTGCTGTGACTTATGCCTATTTCTTCTCTTTTATAATTTAATTGAAAGGTGATCCCATAAGCTCTGTGTCCCAATTAATAGCGTACTTTGCAATTTGGGGCTTTTTGTGATTTGATTAGTTTTGCATATACAATTTTAAGTGTTCTCAGCTAACAGATGGTAATTGGATAGAAGTCTGTAGTATCCTGCTACTCAGAATGACTAGGAGTGATAATGGATAAAACCCTGGACTTAAAGATACACAGTACAAATGAGGGCGCTCTGGTGGCTTAATGGTATAAATAATACAGTTAGTGTTTGATAAGTCATAAAATTAGAAACATCAAGTCCATGGTAAAAGATATACTTGTTAATCTGAAGTGCTTTGCTTCTGCTTTGCATTCATGGATATCAGTATTAGTGTATTTAGCATATTGAGAACCTGCACAGTCTCATAGAAGTGGATTTTTCATTGTTGTTGTTTGAACCCTTTTTTTGGGATACAGTTTTGATTACACAAAGTGTGATGTTCTGTACAAGGACCCCCACAGGTTTTTACCTGCATTCATCAGTTGGTGTATGTTTGAATGCTTCGCCAGTCTTGACTCATAGTCATTGACTTTTATACTATATTAGGGAGCTTTGGTGGCACAGTGCTTTTCAGCAGGTGCTTTGCCGAACCAAGGACCGCCCTTTCTTGCTGTTCTGAATCCACCTCCCACTTCTGTGGAGAAAGATGGGCCAGCTCTTCTCCTGGAAATCTACCTTGGAAATCTGCTGGAAGGAGGATTAATTATGAGTCAGACTCAACTTGATGGCAATGAGAGAAAGATATATTTCTTGTGAACTATTGGAGAATAATTTGGAAACCTCATTAACCCTTACCTTTGACTTCTTAAGTGTGTATTTCCTAAGAACAAAGACACTGTCGTGCATGACCACAGTGCAGTTTGTTAAGGCCAGAAAATTGAGTACTGTTATAAAATTATTATCTAATCTGTTGCCCATATTCAAATTCTGTTATATCCTAGTGGGCTTTCTTTTTCTTTAGTCTGAGTACTGCCCTATTATAAAGAGCCAGCATTGTCAGTCTCATATTTCTTTGTTGTTGTTCCTGTTGTACCGTTTGTTGAATCTGAGTGGACCATAGTTGAACCTCTGGTGAGTTTTCAGAGGCAGTCATCACACAGAGGAAATTGCCCGTCCTTCCCCTGCAGAGCAGCTGGTGGATTTGAACTGCATGCCTTTGGGATTGCAGTGCAGTTTCTTCTTTAATCTTTCTCAGATATTCTGTTTCTTGACCGTTCCATTTTTTTTTTAAAAGGTACAGTCCAGTTATTTTGTAGACCCTCCCTCAATTAGCTTGTAACTGTCTCCTGATTAGATTGGTTCTGGGTGCATTTGTGGCGGTCTGAACGCAGAAGAGATCTTCTGACTTCCCAGTACATCGTAGTTGAGGGCCATAATGTCATCTGCCTCAGTGCTGGTGACAGTAACATTATAAACTTGGTTAAGGTGATGTTTCCAATGTTTCTTCACTGAAGAGTTATTATTTCTCACTCATAAATTTTCAGCAATTTTGTAACTTCTCTGTAATTATTAGTTGTCATGCTATTTTAAAGAGCATTTTTTTCATCTCTTTCATTATTTGTTTACTCAGTTGTTCATATGAATATGCACTTGATAGATTTTTGTTTTACTCAAAAGTTAAAGCCATTATTTTGAGTCTCTGACTGACTGTTCCAACTTTGATGACGGGAGCCCCTACAGGTTGACTTCTATGTAGTTTTTGATTTACAGCCCTTTCCTCTCATGACTTCTCAGGCACTTTC